CTCGCAACAGGCTGAACCTCGCCGCCCCAGCCTCCCCACGGATGGCAACTAGCCAACTCCGCCGTCGGCCGCAAATTGGCGATGAACCCGTCGCATCTCCATCGCCGCCGGCCAACACTCGCCGCAGTTGCACCTAATCCGTGAATGGACGTAGCAAAATTCAAAGACAGTTGTAGCAAAAACACTGCCGGAACTCACCGCCGCGCTTGAAGCACCATGGCCTCGTGAATGGATGTAGCAAAACACGTCTCCGGTAGTAGCAAAAAACAAGGTTGTTGCAACAAAAATGTCGTCTTCGTCGTTGCAAAACACACAGATGGTAGTAGCAAAAATTTGACACGGTTGTAGCAAAAATGGCCGTTGTTGCCGTCGCCGGTCACAGAAAATGGCCGTCGTTGCAAAATCAGAAGATGGTTGTAGCAGAAAACCAGGCTACTTCTAGCAAAATTAAAATACGGTAGTAGCAAAACTTGGTCTGATCTAGCAAATGAGAAAAGATGGTAGCACAAAATGTTTCGGGTTCCAGCAAAAAAAGACACTGGTTCCAGCAAATTGTGATGCCAGTACAAGCAAGAATAAATGTCGGTTGTAGCATGTTGGAGTCGCCGCCGATGTTGGTTGTAGCTCATCGCGTTGTCGCTTCCAGCTTCTCTAGCGGCAGGTTCTAGCAAAATTGCTTGTGGTTTGCAGCACCAGTGGCAGCCTGCGGTCATCCTTGGTCACTGCCGTCGCGCGCCACCGGTTGCCACTCCTGCTCGTCGCCATTGTAGCATGGTCGACGCTGTTTGAAGCACCCTATCCCACGCCGCAAGCTGGGTTGCCGCACCGCCGCGGTGATGGATGGGCGGCCGCTCGCCGGAGTAGCGCGGGGCGGGTGGATGGCGGCCGCTCGCCGGAGTAGCGCGGGGCGGGTGGATGGCGGCCGCTCGCCGGAGTAGCGCGGGGGTGAGTGGATGGCGACCGCTCGCCGGAGCAACGGGGGCATGTGGATGATGGCTGCTCGCGACATCGACGGTGGTCATCATCGGCAAGACTTTATTTGGGGAGCAACGGAGAGAAGACGGGCGAGAGGATAAGGAAAGGAAATAAATGATGGAGTGATTCGTGCGGGATAATAGAGACAGGCTTAAGCGGTAGTGGGTGGGGCTTGTTGTCAGCGTGGACTTGACCGGCGGAGTTTCAGCCGGTCGGCCGGCTTTAAACGTTTTCCAATCTTTAAACTAGTGTTGATTGTCGGTGTTGCTACTCCAAGCCCACAACTATGTCGCGAATTAATCTTTAGAAGAAAAAAATATATAATCTCATAAGAAGAAATCGCTGATTGCAGCATCTCGAAACAGAGGACCCGCCAGTTCTAGCAGAATTCATCTCTTTTTACAGATCAGTTTTACAATTGCAGATTACTTATAAACCACGCATCTCGGTAAATACAAGTGAACAAGAAACCAATAGAATAAGCTGAAACAGCGTCTAAACCATGAATTTCCTACGCCACAGCAATGGAAGCAGCGAGCGCCACCACCGGGCGGCGCTCTGCCTGCAACTCGGTCAGTAGAAGACGTCCAGCAGCGCCTGGCGGAGGACGTCGTAGTCGTCGCGGCTTCGGAGGCCCCAGACGGAGCCACCACGCGCGTAGGCGCGGCGCAGCCAGGCGAGGTGGGTAGCGAGCACGCGGCAGAGGACGGCACAGGCTTCCGGCAAGTGGCAGGCGAGCGGGGGCCAGGGGTTGAGCGGCGGCCACCGCAGCGGCGCCGAGACGTGGAACAGCTGCGCGAAGCCCTTCACCGCCGCGAACGCCACCAGCAGGTGGAGCCCCATCGGTGGCTAGCTAGCTCGGTTCAGTCCACAGCTCCACTCCACGTCCTCTGTTCTTTCGCCACGGTGAGGCTCTGTCTTTAGATGCTGCCCATGACACTGGTGGGTGGGTGCTTTGCCGGTGCCCGGGTTGCGGCCTTCCCCGGGTGCCAGCGCGAACGAAATGAAATGGATGGGTTGTTATTATCGTCGTCGTCGTTGTGAGTGAAGACGGAGAGGACGCATCTTGGCTGGATCTGAGCAAGAGTTATGATTGTGACGAGGAGCAGCAGCTTCTGGATGTGCCGTTATCCCGAGGGCGGAATTGGGAAATACACCCGTGGCGGGTGGGCTCGGCCGGGTCGATCTGAGGTCTCAGCACAGACGCAATTACTAGTTACTTTCATGTGTTTATTTCACGGCAGGCCATCGAACTACAGTGCTGTGCTGGAACCAAGGTTTTGGGTACCGGGCGGAAAATTCAGATATCACCCGGTATCCGCTGGAACCAAGGTTTTGGGTACCGGGCGGAAAATTCAGATATCGCCCGGTATCCGCGTTTCTCGCTACCCACGAGAAAGCTGCGTACTGAGTAAAAAAATTTGAATTTTTTGAATTTAAACGATAGGTGAATCGAACCCACAACCTCACACACGTTGAAGACAAACGTGGAGAACATGCCACTGCACCAACAGTGAATTTATAAACTTCTTGAGCTCCGAGCTAATATATTCCTATATCAGAAAATTTTGAATTCAAATTATGTTTTAAAATTCGAACGGTTTTTCCTCCTAATTTTGCGGTATCCGCGTTTCTCGCCCACCCTCGGAATTTTGTTGGGATTCGATAGCCAAAACGTTGGCTGGAACTCGTACCAGTGTCTCAAAGCACCCGTGCCCACATTGCCACTTGACAATCCTATATGGTTTTCACCCCCAAAAAAAGGAAAAAGACAAAGCCCGTGGTATTCGTCTTTTTTAGACCAATGATGAGATATAACCAAACAGTAAATTCATCTAAAAGATTAAACAGTAAATGATACCTTTCCACCGATTCTACGTCCCGCTCCCCAGCATTTCCTTTCAGCTTCTTCATTCCTCTCGTGTTTCTGCTTTGTTTACTTGATTGATGCAGCACTTCTCCACGTCGCCATGAGTCTCTTGCTGTGTGGTTTACGTTCGAGGACAGAGGTTAGCTTTGGGTTATTCGATGTTGCAACATTCGTCCGACATGCAATGGCATTGTTTTTATGTTGTTGCAAACACACGTCAACATGATGTGATGATTCTTAAGGTCTGCTACAAATGTTGTGTTGCTGAAAACGTGGGTTTACATGCTATATATGTTGTGATGATTCTTCTCGAGGATTCTGCTCCGACCAATGAGGATTTGTTGCATACTAGGAAAAAGGTCATGCATGGTTGTGCTTTACATGGCTAACTTTTTTTTATCCTTATTTTTGACACACCACAACAGAAGTTTTGCTACCATGTTGAAAATGTAGAGCACGGAAGTTCTATGCTGCAATGCTCGAACGATAAAGACTTTGCAATTTAAACTAAAGGCTAGGGAGGCCGCCAATATGGGGCTCGCCCCACCCGACCAGTGGCTAGTGTTCCCCTAATCAAAAGGGTTACATCTGCCGCGGCAAAAGAAGCTACAACGAACGGTGCACCCACATGCTAAGCTGACACAGATGCATCCTGCAGGCTTAACTTAGCCAACACCTGAGCTACCCTATTCCGATCCATATTACCATGAGTGATCTTAACACCATCTAAGCCACTTGCAATCTTCTTAATTTCTTCGTTGAGGAAGGCATGGCTTGATCTGTCATGGCCCTGACAGTCTAGTCCGCGGCAAGATATTGCGCCTGTTTTGCTTTCTTCCTTCCCCCGCTTCTTTCTTTGTTTCTTCTGCTTCTTTGCTTGTTGCTTTTGTGTGTTCTCAGTCTCTGTGCAAGTAAAAGTAGTTGGCCATTAGAACTTCTCCAAGAGATGAATATGTTATTTGGGCAAATACAACACTGTATATGGGCTTTACCACTAAATTCTTGGGTCTCGAGACTTCCAGCAAGATGATCCTCATCATCATCCATCAGCACCACACTTGCCTATGTAAATTGATAGGTTGACTTGTAAAGGCAATAAATAATTTGCAATGTGCACAAAATAAGATATCTACATAAGCTGATTTTGACTAGAAATGCTTAATTAGCTTACAGGGGAAGAGTAGATAATAAACCAAAGAATCACTTGTCAGTTGATGAGGTAATCTATACCTCAAGATACTCGGCTGCAGTCCTTTTATGTTGTCTCCTGGGGGCTGCTTCAAATACCTTGTTGTGTTTGCAATCAATGACTATCACAACCTTTCTATCTGATTGAGCTTTTATATAGTTTGCATCAAGCAACTGTATATCAAGAGTTATCTGCTTCAAACCACAGAATCACTTGTCAGTTGAGGTAATAATAAGTTCAAAAGGATGAACATCAACTGAAACATTAGAGTATCAAATTAACAGTACTTACAGTTCGTTTCTTTGCAGATTTCAGACATTCCGGTGTAGCTCTTCTCAGGAGTCCAACTTTAGTTTCAAACCTCTTCTTTAGTTCTAGAAGATGCTCCAGGTACCCCTCATTTAAGGCAGAAATTGTCATGGAGGTGAGATAATCATAATCACTGGCATGTACATCAGGGCTTCTTCCATTTTCTTCCCTGTATATTGTTGCTCCTACGGCAGCGGGCAGAACTTCCTTTGGGAGGGTATCAAATCCCTTTTCAGCAATCTCTTGTAGCAGATCCTTTTGCTTCCTGGGAATGATCTTGATATCACCACTCAGAACACCAGAGAGGAACCTAGCTCTGTTGTCAACTTGCTTCAGCTTCTTCTCGAAAAATTCAAGCATTGCAACCTGCACAACAAGTATCAGTTAATGTGGTATTTTGCAGATGAACAGGGCAACAAGCAGAGTGAAAATTGAACACCTCAACAAATACATTTACCTACCTTTCCGGATGGAGATCAAGCCTCGATTTGTAGAACTAGGTGCGGATTCGCTCCAGCCCCCCCGAACCAGGATCACGATCGAGTGAGGGGTTCCAGATTTGCAGTGGCCGCCGGCCGTCGCGCGTCTTGTCGCACCTGCGGTTGTTTCTGGGTCGAAGAAGGCTATGGGCGCTCCGATCTGATGTCGACGGGTGGAGGCCAAGCAAATGAAGCCTCGAATTGGAGGACTACGACCGGATTCGCTCCAGCCCCTCCGAACACCGATCACGATCGAGCGAGAGGGTCGAGATCTGGACGCCGCCGCGCGTCTCGTCGCTGCTGTCTAGCGCCACTTCACGTCCGCGGTTGAGTCCGGATCGAAGAAGGGTAGCGGTGCTCCGTGGAGGCAGCAGAAATAAACAGCGACGGTGGGGAAAGCTGGGGTTGCTGGTTGCAGTTGTACGCATCGAGTTCGTATCGAAATCGCATCGGGGCAGGAGAAGTCCACGGTTCAAACATGGCAAGTGCGGCCAGACGTGAGCCTGACAAGTAAGCTCATTGGGTTTCTGTATGTAGCACTAGCACTAGCTTTGCATGCGCCTTTGTTTTGTTAACGTACACATCTTTCTTTGCAGAGAAACTTTCATATGTGAACTGATCTACAAATCTTTATTTTTGTCGAGAAAATCTCATGTGTATCACCATTCAGAACTCACTCCTATCATCCTATGCATTGGCTAGTGCTGCCATATGTGAGTTCACAAAAAATAAGCTCCTTGGATTTGTGTATATATGCACTTGCGTGCGTATTTGTATCTGAGAAACTGAGCATCTCTAGCAGACCCCTTAAATCACGCCGAACTACAAAAAAGCTGCTAGTTTACGGTTTTAGTGAAAAAAGTGGCCCGAACAGACACTGTATCAGACGCGGCCTGTAAAGAAATTTGCGGGGCGCGGCAAATCTTCGCCCTCAACCTTTATATACACGAGGTGAGAAGCCGACCTGAGCTTGACCCCTATCGGCAGCGATATTTGGCGGGAGGGACATTTTCGCGCGGCAGCTGCCGCTTCCCCTTCCCTCCGCCGCCATTGTTATCCCTTCACCTGCTCCGGACCACCTTCCCCGGCTTTGTATCGCCGCCATGGAAGCCTCCCAGCCATTACCCGTCATCGTCGATGTCATCCACGCGCCAACCCCTCCGACAGATCTCTTCGCCGGCCATGTCGCGCTCGTTGCGGTTCAAGGCTCCACCCCGCAACCCCGCAAGAGGCAGGGCAATGTCGTCGTCCAGGGTGGCGCTCCCGCAGCCCCCGCCGAGAATGCACACGCGACTGCTGCCGCCGCCGTTGCGAATCCTGTCCGGCCCACACCGGCAAAGAAAGGGAAGGTTTCGGGTGTGAAATGCAAGAAGCCCACCGCAAGAGCTACCTTGCCAACACCTCCCCCGATTGCCCCGGCAAGAGCTACCCCGAGGATGCCCGCCGACGAAGTTGCTGCCGCCGCCCCCGAGGTGTTCGACGAAATGGGCGCAAGGTATGATACTTCGATTTCTTCTAGTTGTTACACTTTTCGCCATTGCGCTTGTTCGTGACTTGTTGAGCAAAATTGTAGCGCCGTCTTGTATGATGCGATTGCCGAGTTTGTGCACTTGCCGGACGGCAACACTGTCGATATCGATGAAGCCCTGATTGGTGATTACGGTTACAATGACATGGATCGTGGCGTGCACGGTCATGATGAGGAAGAAGATGAGGTGGAGGAGGTTGAGGAGGGGGTGTTCGACCAAGCGCAAGCAAAAGTGCGCGCAAGATCGAAGAACTACACACAATTGGAAGATCAAATCTTGATCAAGGCATGGAAATTGGTGTCTCTTGATGCGTGCACCGGAACTGAACAAACCACCAAGCGGTATTGTCAAAGGATAGAGGATCAGTTCTTCCGCATGATGGCAAAGTATCCCAATAGGACGCCACGCACCTTTAGGTCAATCCAAGGTCATTGGGACGTGATTAAAGGAAATATGCCCTAGAGGCAATAATAAAGTTGTTATTTATATTTTCTTATATCATGATAAATGTTTATTATTCATGCTAGAATTGTATTAACCGGAAATTTACTACATGTGTGAATACATAGACAAACAGAGTGTCACTAGTTTGCCTCTACTTGACTAGCTTGTTGAATCAATGATGGTTATGTTTCCTAACCATAGACATGAGTTGTCATTTGATTAACGGGATCACATCATTAGAGAATGATGTGATTGAATTGACCCATCCATTAGCTTAGCACGATGATTGTTTAGTTTTTTTGCTATTGCTTTCTCCATAACTATAAATGTTCCTATGACTATAAGATCATGCAACTCCCGAATACCGTAGGAACACTTTGTGTGCTACCAAACATCACAACGTACCTGGGTGATTATAAAGGTGCTCTACGGGTGTCTCCGATGGTGTTTGTTGAGTTGGCATGGATCAGGATTAGGATTTGTCACTCCAATTGTCGGAGCGGTATCTATGGCCCCTCTCGGTAATGTACATCACTATAAGAATGCAAGCAATGTAGCTAATGAGTTAGTTACCGGATGTAGCATTACGGAACGAGTAAAGAGACTTGCCGGTAACGAGATTGAACTAGGTATTGAGATACCGACGATCGAATCTCGGGCAAGTAACATCCCGATGACAAAGGAACAACATATATTGTTATGCGGTTTGACCGATAAAGATCTTCGTAGAATATGCAGGAATAAATATGAGCATCCAGGTCCCTCTATTGGTTATTGACCGGAGACATGTCTCGGTCATGTCTACATAGTTCTCGAACTCGTAGGGTCCGCACGCTTAACGTTCAGTGACGATCGATATTACGAGTTTATGTGTTTTGATGTACCGAAGGTAGTTCGGAGTCCCGGATTTCATCACGGACATGACGAGAGTCTCGAAATGGTCGAGACGTAAAGATCGATATATTGGAAGCCTATGTTTGGACATCGGAATGGTTCCGGGTGAAGTATACCGGAGTACCGGGAGGTTATCGGAACCCCCGGGAGGTATATGGGCCTTATTGGGCCTTAGTGGAAGAGAGGGGAAAGAAGCAAAGGAGGGGGCTCCCCCGCCCAACCCAATCCGAATTGGGAAGGGGGTCGGCCCCCCTTTCCTTCCTTCTTCCCTCTCCTTCCTTCTCTTCTAGAACCAACAAAGGGAAGGGGGAATCCTACTCCCGGTGGGAGTAGGACTCCTTGGGGCGCGCCTAGATAGGCCGGCCCCTTCCCCCTTCTCCACTCCTTTATATATGGGGGAGGGAGGCATCCCATAGACACACAAGTTGATCATTGATCTTTAGCCGTGTGCGGTGCCCCCCTCCACCATAATCCACCTTGGTAATATGTAGCGGTGCTTAGGGGAAGCCCTGTTCCGGTAGCAACATCATCACCGCCATCACGCCGTCGTGCTGACGAAGCTGTACCTTAAAGCTCTAATGGATCGTGAGTTCGCGGGACGTCACCGAGCCGAACGTGTGCAGATCGCGGAGGTATCGTATCTTCGGTACTAGATCGGTCGATCGTGAAGACGTACGACTACATCAACCGCATTGTCATAACGCTTCCGCTTACGGTCTACGAGGGTACCTAGACGATGTTCTCCCATCTCGTTGCTATGCATCACCATGATCTTGCTCTGCGTAGGAAATTTTTTGAAATTACTGCATTCCCCAACACTGGTATCAGAGCCAGGTTTATGCATAGATGTTATATGCATGAGTAGAACACAAAGGAGTTGTGGGCGTGGGTATATACATATTGCTTGCCGTCACTAGTTGATTCTTGATTCAACAGCATTGTTGGATGAAGCGGCCCAGACCGACATTACGCGTACGCTTACGCGAGACTGGTTCTACCGACATGCTTCGCACACAGGTGGCTAGTGGGTGTCCTATTCTCCAGCTTTAGTTGAATCAGATTCAATGAACATGGTTCTTTCTGAAGATCAAAAAGCAATCACTATACCGCGTTGTGGTTTTTGATGCATAGGTAAGAATGGTTCTTGCTCAGCCCGTAGCAGCCACATAAAACTTACAACAACAAAGTAGAGGACGTCTAACTTGTTTTTGCAGGGCATGTTGTGATGTGATATGGTCAAGACATGATGCTAAATTTTATTGTATGAGATGATCATGTTTTGTAACATAGTTATCGGCAACTGGCAGGAGCCATATGGTTGTCGTGTTATTGTTTGAAATGCATTCGCCATGTAATTGCTTTACTTTATCACTAAGCGGTAGCGATAGTCGTAGAAGCAATAGTTGGCGAGACGACAACGATGCTTTGATGGAGATCAAGATATCAAGCCAGTGACGATGGTGATCATGACGGTGCTTTGGAGATGGAGATCAAAGGCACAAGATGATGATGGCCGTATCATATCACTTATATGGATTGCATGTGATGTTTATCCTTTATGCACCTTATTTTGCTTAGTTCGGCGGTAGCATTATAAGATGATCTCTCACTAAATTTCAAGGTATAAGTGTTCTCCCTGAGTATGCACCGTTGCTACAGTTCATCATGCCGAGACACCACGCGATCATCGGTGTGATAAGCTATACATTCACATACAATAGGTGCAAGCCAGTTTTGCACACGTGGAATACTCGGGTTAAACTTGACGAGCCTAGCATATGCAGATATGGCTTCGGAACACTCGAGACCGAAAGGTCGAGCGTGAATCATATAGTAGATATGATCAACATAGTGATGTTCACCATTGAAAACTACTCCATCTCGTGTGATGATCGGACATGGTTTAGTTGATATGGATCACGTAATCACTTAGATGATTAGAGAGATGTCTATATAAGTGGGACTTCTTAAGTAATTTGATTAATTGAACTTTAATTTATCATGAACTTAGTAC